GGTGCGTGTTTCAGCTGAGATGACAATCCAGGCTTTGGCCTGACAGATCCAAAAGAGTTTTCTGAAGCCACCTATAATTGACTGCAGCATCCAAGCTCTGTGGGAAGACTGGGTTCCTGCATCTCAACCTGCTTTACAATAAACTCCTGTCTTTTCTGATCATGTAGAAAACCTTCAGAACGCGAACAGATGGAAACCAAAGCCGAGCAGTTTGCCTGCCTCTGCAGAAGAAAGGGCGAGGAACGTCGCTGCAGCTACATTATGCATTTTACAGAGCAACGTAAGGGAGTAAGTAGTGCCGTGCTGGGTGACACCAATGGTCCATCTCGCCCTGCGTCCTGCCTCTGACAGGGGCAAATAGCAGATGCTTTAGAGAAAGAGCACAGGAATGGGGCAGAGGAGCGGACTGCAGAGATGTGTTTCGCATTCTTCCTCCCCGTCTGTATGAACGTTTAATCTTCCTATCGGCATCCCCGGTCTTGAGCAAAGACTCATCATCACTCAGTACTGGGTTGTCTGGGAGAGACGGATCTAACCGAGCCGTACCAGGCACCTCAGGGATGCTTTCATACGGTGGCTTCAAGCTGTTTCTAAATGATCTTCAGATCAAGGGGCAGAGTGCAGGGTTGGTACAACAACCTCGTCTTCCAGAAAAGGGCAGTTCCGGAATTAAAAGGCTTTACTGATTCCTAAGGTTATTTTGCAACTGGTTTAATGCTGCTGGGGCCTTAACCACCTAACCATGTGTAACACTGCTGCAGACACCGCGAGGGGACGGTTCAGTTCAGGGGCTCTGCACCACTTGATTGTCTTGGCTTGAGCCCCCACCTAGAAACTCATTTTTGCTGGGTGTTCCCACAGGAACCAGCTTCCCCACTCACAAGCAATTTAAAATTGTAACAGGGTTTATTAGTTGAGGGGGAACGGGAGGCTAAAACATATTATTTACAGTCAAAACAAGCACAAAGGAGGTTTTCACTCCCCCCCCCCCATGCATACCAGAGGGGAATATGCAGATAAGGGGCACAACCCTTCGTCGTCTGCCCTTGCATACCCATGCAAGCACCGCAGCGAGGCTGTCATGCAGCCGTGGGGTCACAGGTGCGTTTTAAAGCAAAGCAAGATCAAGCTAGGGGTGGATGTACGTGGCCTAGGGATGGATGTACGTGGTCTAGCTCCGTGCCTGACTTCAGAAGCTAGATGGCAGTGCGGTCACACAGTTGAGACGTATCTGCCTTGCCGCCGGAGCTGCTGCTGTCGCTGTTCCAGGGCTCGGCGGCTTTCCTGGTGGTAAAGCTGTCTGAAAGCACTCTACTTTTCATACCCAAGCGAGACATGGTGTTCTGGAAGGGTCGGCCACGCCACGTCCGTGCCCATCACGTCACTGCCGTCCCATCGGGAACTGCTGGAGCGGCTCTGAGTCCTGTATTTTTCACATGAAGTCCTCAGTCACGCTGGGGTTGTGGAGGGCCAAGCTGTGTCCCGTTGCAAACCCACAGGTCTGTCTGACCCCTCGTGCGGGTGTCCCTCCTCTTGGACACGTGCGAGCGAGCGGAAGGACAGCCACAGAGCTGTGCTGCCAGCCCCAGCCTCTGCCTTGAGGACATCATTGCTCGCACCCCCTGGACCATGCCTCTGCCGTGGGCATGGACTCGCTCTGTGCCTGCAGGTGCCACGTGGAGCGATGGAAGCTGAAGTGATGCTGAACGTCCGGTTTGCTTCACGGCACCATAGAGGCAGAGGCAACCGTGCGGTGCTGGGGAAGCAGAAACCCCTTCTGCTGAGGTGAGCCCTGGGGGCTTTGATACTGGAAGGGAACTGTTGATCAGCTCATCTGACCTCCTGCATAGCACGGGCCTTGTAATTGCACCCGGGTCCTGGAGGCGCAGACCAAAGACTGTCGGTGTCACAGAGCGGGGAGCAAGGGGGAGCACAGGATTACCCAGAATCGTGGTCAGCTCCTTAGCAACAAGAGCACCAGTAGCACTCCTGCTCCCTAGTCACCTGCCCAGAGTACCGGGTAAGGCCTGGGAAAAAGCCCGGGGAAATGATAAGGTACAAGGTGGGTGAGGAGGCCCAGAGCTCTCCGCTCGAGTGTGGGCTGGACAAGATCTGGGACCCATCTCTGTGCTTGAGTCATATGAACTTGAAACCCCAACTGCAAGTATCCCCGGAGCAAATTCACATTTAGATACAAGCTTCGAGGCCCTTCCCACCAGATTCTGCAACCCACATTGTCTGACTTTGGGAAGCTCTCTTGCAGCCTGCAAGCTGCTTGGGGGACAATTTCCTCACTATAAGAGCGTACAGCACCCGGCACAGTGGAAAACTAACTTTGCTGAGGCCTTGAAGAACCACTGCAAGACAAATAATAAATAAGAACGACCAAAGTATCCTCTCTGGCACGTGCAGCAGAGGGTTTCTTCAAGGTGCGTTATCCGCAGAACAGGGAAAAGCCTGCAGATGGGCTGGCTCCGGTGGTGGAGGGTGATGAGGGTCCTTGGTCTACTTTTTCTGGTGATGCCCTATGTGCAGACTGCCACGATCCATGCCCTAAGCACTTCCAAATCAGCCCTAATTATCCCACTGATGTCACGTGATCGGCTCGTCCAGAAGCACCGCCGCGCCCGTTCCTTCGATTCCTTCCCTCCTCCTGTGTGGCTAAAGGTGTTTGCAGGAGAACGAGATCCCCGTCTTCTCGAGGCTTCTCCTGCTGCTCCCCACCTCCCATGAGATCACATCATCCTGCCTCCCGGATGTCCACAGCCACCGGGGCATGACGGCACGTGGGGAAAGAGCAACGAGAGCCCGAGCTCTGAAAAATCAAAGTCCTGTTCACAGGCAAGTGCTTTGATAGCGGACCTGATCCAGACCCTCTCCATTATGCGAGCCCCAGGAAATTCATGAGGACCCATGACCCTCCCATGTGCTGTCAATGGCCGAGGGCATGGGCTGCACGGAGGGCGTGCTGGGTTGCGCGCGGGATCTGTGCGGCGTGGCACAGGCTTGTCGGGCTCCCCAGATTTCAGGCCGTATTTGCACCACCCATCTGAGAGGGGCACGACACGAGTTACACGCACAGGATGCCCTGCACGCCCTTCACCCTCCTGCAAGAAGGTCCAGTACAGTCCCAACCAAAGCACAGAAAGGCAGACAAGGGGCCAGGTGATGCTGGCAGCTTCCCCTAGGCAATCCCACGGCCTCTCTGCTACCTCGACGCGGTAGGGCCAAGCGTGTTAGAGCATCCCGGACAGACAGAAGCTGGTCCAGCGCGTAGTGAGCAGGAGCACTTCTAAATAAAACATTTTCAGTGACATCAGCAGCTTTTTAGCTCCCACGGCTTGTTCAAGGTCCATGTTCATCCCGAACAATGTTTATATATGGCATGTAAAATCAATTTCGAAAAAATCATTTCCATAACTGAATATTTATGCCAACATCTACGGAGTATGCTCCTTGCCTGAACTGAAAACTATTTTTCCAGTTATAAATGTTTACTTGCTTCGTGTTAAAACTGCTTTAAACAAACTTAAAATCAAATTGATTTCTTCCTGTCTGTGGGTTTTCCACTTTATTCTCGATATTGACTTCCTGAGAAGCGGTTAAATATTTTATTATTATTAATTTCACATCTAACAGCCCCTGTATCTTTTTTATCATGTCGTATAACAGCATTGATGTTCACAGTGCCAGGGCGCGCTCGCTATCTAGCTGCTACACTCATCCAATGCCTCAGCTTTACTCTGGAATTAATCAGCTTCAATAGCCCTTTATTGCATCATACGCTCAGCATTAGCTCTTAAATAATATTGTGCTAAGTAAATTCAAAGGCTCAGCCCCATGACAGTAATGGAGTCCAGGAGAGTCTTTTTTAATTAGGGCCAGTCTACGAGCGCGAGAGTTTGGACACCATATTTATATCTCGAGGGAGCGCTGGTTCCCTCTTGCGCGATTGTATTTATTGCTTGCGAGACAGACAGTTTTATGGTCCTTGAAAAAAGAAACCTATAATTTCTTCCTGTGCAGGGCACCTGCGGGGCAGGTGTGCGTCGCTTTGGATAATATGTTAGAATTCCCCCTTCCGCCGAGACCCAGGCAGCTTCATTTCCTTTCGCCTGTTGGCCACCACGGTTCTCACATCTATTTTCTTCACAGTTTGGGGGCTTGTGAAGACTGCTTTTTCAGAATAATTAGGCCAAGTGGATGATGAAGACCTTAATTTCTCAGCAGCCCCTTTCATAAGTTCTGCTTGGAGGAATAGGGTTCTTATTTTCTTTTACCTTCCTTCTGTCCGCCTCTGTCTTCTCAATGTGATCTGTTGTGAGTGATCTGGAGAGGGTGCTGCATTTCGGAGGGAGGGTTACGAAGTGACCGGTGTCTATCCCAACCACGCAGCTGGCCCAATAAACGGTTTCACCCACAAGAGTCTGCCTCTCCCCGGTCTACCATAAATCATTCTTCACAACTCCAGTTTTACGTCGGCGCAACTTCGTTGATGTTAGTGGAATTATGTTGGCATCAAGGAGGAGTGATGCATCAGGGCCATGGTTTTTATATTAGCATTTCAGCCTGCAAAGCATCTCACTTGGATCTGTTGGAACAAGCAGCTAGATAAATGCAATTGTAATCGCTTATTCTTTAAGTTGTAGCAAGAGATGCAGAAAGCAGCATGGGCTGAACCCAATAGCAGCTCCAACCCTGCTGTTACACACACACAGGTTCACATGCAACATAAAAAAAGGGTGGGTGCACATCGGTGTGCGAGCGCACACCTGTAACATGCCTCCTTGCCTCTGCCACCAGCTCTCTGCCTGCGTGCAAGCAGACAAATCCAGTGACGCCCTATCACAGGATTTAGGCACCCTGCCAGGATGCCAGTTTAGCAAAGGGTTAACGAGGACATTTATTAGTCTCTCTCCCAGCTGGGACTAATTATCTCCCTACCTGCAGCAGGTGGGGAGATAAAAAGGCTCCAGCTGAGCAGGCAGTTTCCAATGGAGGAGAGAGTTGCTTGTCTTTGCAGCAGCAAGAGCTTGCGCTGCTTTTCCCTGAGAGGCCAGGTAGGAAGCAGTGAGGGGTGGCGGAAAACAAGCCTTAGCTGCTTTACCCAGCACATCCCTGGCTCTGAGCCCAGAGGTGTGGGCCTGGGACCCCCAGTGCAGGAAGAGGCTGTTGGGGTGCGGGCCCCAGGGAGAGGAGCAGCATCCATAGCCGGAGCCTGTGACATGCAGCCAGATGGGAGGAGGGCTCCATGCCCCTGCGGCGGGCCCACGGGCAGGGGCCGGGTCCCCCGTGCACAACGACCGAGAGCCCGTTTGCCCCGAGCCACAGGCGGGGATGCTCGAGGGGATGCTGTGGCCCCCACGGTAGGGGCGCGCGGGCTGCGTGGAGCGGCCCCGAGGCAGCGGCTGTCGAGGAGGCTCCCGGCGAGGAGAGCGGGGTGGGGTGTGACCCCGGGGTTCCCGCAGGGATCTTTAGGAGGACGCGGCGGGTGTCTGAACATCAGGCAAGGATTTGCTCAGGTTTATATAGCCGTGCTCTGCTGTTTGACCCTCTCCGTGTATGAACCCTCCTGCTCTTCTGTTCCTTCGCCCAGCGCCCCTGGTAAATCAGGATTTTTGGGCACATGAACAACCTGGGTGGGCTCAGTCGGCACGGCGGGGGCCCCACAGACTTCCATGCACCCAGGGCATATCACTGGGAATGCCCCGGTGCACTGCCAGCAGCCTCCCCAGGGCCAGAGGCCTCTGCCATGCTCCCCAGAAGCCTGGGGGGTCTTGTCTCCCAATCCTTTCTGTCCCAGCCCCTGTAAATGCACAGGGGTTTGGATCGTGGCCCGTACCCTGCATTCATCTGATGCAAACATGCTGTTTCCTGCCTTGTCTGGCGATGCTGAAGCTGCGCCTCCTGTCAGATGCCCGGCAGGGACCAAACGGCGGCGTCGAGGGGCTGCCTCTGGAGCCCCCGGATCCTAGCGTTCCCTCCCGGTGCCAGGTTTCAAGGCTCGTCAGGCTGGCTCCCCGGCAAATAAATATTTGATCAGAGCTAAAGCTTGCAGGAGACCTTTTCTTTTGCTTACTGACAGCTGTCGTTCCAGCTCAGGCATTAGAGAAAGATGCCTTAGAAGTGTTGCTGCTGCATTTGCCTGCAGCCATGAACCAGCGTTTGGGCTCCCACAGGGTTTTCTGTGTGCACAGATCCCTCTTCTGCACACAGGACGCGTCAACCCGAGCCAAGTCTCGGTCTGCTGATTGTTTTTCCCTGCACAGTCCATGCACAGCTATTGGCAAGGGCTCCGTAGCCGGCGTCCAGCGATGATGTGGTTACCGCTGGCACCTTCGCAAGGCTCGTATGAGTCACACGGATCGATTTCCAACTTTGGCCCCCATATTTTTGCCAGCGGCTTATGATCTGGGACGAAGGTACGTCCTCTTCCAAATTCGTAGACTTGAATGTGTCCCAGGATCAAGGTACAAGTCTCTCTGGTCGTAGCAATGTCTCAGCTGTTGGTAATGATCAGGAAGCAACACGATGAGTCTTTTTGCTCTTCTTTCTCTCGGAGGGGAGCGTCGCAGGGTAACGTGCAGTGCAACTCTGCGCCAAAATGAGCCAGGAGGCTGGGACAACTCCATTTCTTTTGGACTTCCTCAGAAGCCTGATTTTTTCCTTTCTGTCCCAATGTACCCCAGTCTTTCCCTTGTCTGAGCAGTCATCGGACAAGTCGGGTTTTACTTTGCGGGCAGGAGTCCTCCATAACAGCTTTGCACTTGACGGCTGGCTCAGCTCAGTCACGAGGACGCTGCGGTAGGTGGGTTACCGGTGAGTATGGGGACACCGCCCAGACCCGGCCCATCCATTGTGGGCAAGCTGTCGGGGAAACGACGGTGCGTGGAGCGGGGCCTGCGGATGGGCTGGCTTCCCATGGGAAGGTGTTGGGCTATTTCCAGGTGCTCCTCTAGGACGGCGGCTTTGTTTCTCCAGTGCTCTTCTTCAGTGAATCTGCCCACCGGTTCTTGGTGTGTGATAAAGGCATTGACGCTGGCTCTTGGTACCGGCAAGGACACTTAATGTAGAGTCTCCTCCAAAAGCAGCAAGCTGGAAACGGGAGCTATGATGCCCAGGATGAGTGCCCGGCTGCCGTGCTTCGTTCCCCTTGGAGCGTGCGGAGATCCCGAGGTCAGGAGATGCAGCAGCCCCCAGCTGAGCTCCCGCGGTCCCGCTTCCTTCACCCTCGCGGCCGTGGGCTTCCCTGGATCTGGCTTATTCCAGGGCCCGAGTCCAGCCGTTCTGCCTCCTCGCAGCCACCGCCGGGAGTCTGGTGATGGGGTCACGCCAGCGAGTCCTCCCCCCGCTCCACCTCCCTTGGTCTTTGTGCATTGCCTGCAAATGTCTCCTGGCCGGAGACGTGCCGCTCTCAGACCCAGGGGACACTTGTGACCAGCACAAGCCCGAGTGGCCTCCACTTCAGTATTAGCCACTTCTGTTGCAGCCCGTGCAATGCTTTCGCTCGGGACTGACGGTCACTACAACGCGAGGAAACCCAATTTCTGCTTCTGTCAGTGTAGCTGGTCCGCTTGTGTGGTGTCTTCATCTCCGGTGTCCCCTGGCAAACCATTCGCCGAGTGATTCGGGTCTGTGGGACTGTTGTGGCGGGGTCGGTCCCAGACTCTGCACAGTAGGCGCCATTGCCCATGCGCCATCTCCCGAGCTGTGTGGCAAGGAGGTGCTATCGTGCACGCCTAGATATGCACACGGGGCTCTCCTCCCAGCCTGCCCCTGCTTCGGTAGTTCAGAGGTTCAGCTCCCCGCTGCTGGGGTCATCCAGCCCACCTGGGAGAAGCTGTAATGCCGAAGCCTTTGGCCCACATCTCTACCAACTGCTGGGCGCTGGGCTGCAGCCTTCTCCATCTGCCAAAATGCTCACAGCCTCCTCCTTGCGACTGGCCCCAGACTCGCTGTTTCTGCCGTCTGGAAGCTGCTGCGCTGGCTGTAACGCCTCCCCCCAGCCCGTCAGAAACGACGGGACATAAAACAGCACAAAGACAGCACTGGCTATGGGTTGTGCGTGGCTGTGGATGCGGGTGCCACCACCCCCTCACTGCCATCCTGTTGCAACCTCTCCTAGAGCCTCTTCTAAACCCGGGCAATGTCCTTCTGAATTCCTCCCGGCGACCAGCATTTCTTCCAAATCAGACGGCCCCGTCTACCCCCTGCAGCGCTCGATCCAATCTTCCCCCAAACCCAGGAGGCATGCGGGGCGTATTGTATGGGGCAGTCTTTCCAGGCGAAATCGTCCTGTCGGTGTGTCCTGTCAAAGCTCCTCTCGTCCCAGCACCGCCTGCTCGCTGCTAGCTCAGCAAACTCGGTGCTTTCCCCTCCTGGTCCTTAAGCCAGGCTTGGAGAAGGACACTCTGGATTGGTGGAACATTTCCACCAATCAGGTAACAGCTGGGAGGGGCTTGCCCCACCCTTGCTTGGAGGGAGGCGGGGCAAAGAGCCCCTGGACCTGATTGAAGACTGCGCTTTGCCGGTTGGGCGGACTTCGGGGCAGGGCCTCCGGTGTAAATAAAAGCCCAGAGCGCTCGGCATGCTGGGCAGACGTGGCGAGGGATGGCGAGGAGCTCCAGAGGAGACTGTCAGAGGGACCCACCTGAGCCTCAACGGTGCATGGAGAGCTGGCCCTGGGAGCAGCTCGAGCTCCCATAGGAGCCCAGCACAGCACCATCGGGGAAGCCCTGGCAGGAGGCCCAGAGCGGGACACCAGGCCATCGAGAGGAGCCAGAGGCACCGCCAAAGAGAGGCCCTTACAGGACTGGCTTCAGCACGGGAGCGAGAGTTGCTGGGGAAGCAGGTCCCATGGGGGACGTGGGTTTGGGAGAGGAGGGTCTGCAACCTCCACCCTCCTCCATTGTGGGGGGACGTGTCCACATCCCGGGGCCCTAAAGCAGAGGGGCTCCAGGGAACACCCTGTGGGGTGCTGCGTGCACCTCCTATTTTGTGATTGATGTTTGCTTCCTACTGTTGTTAATATAGTTATGGGTGTTGCTCAGGGGGTGTATATGGGTTCTGTGTTCTGCAGTCCCTTGTAGCAGTGCAATGTGCTGATGGCAGGTTATTGTATATGGTGTCGCATACCAATTCTACTGTCAATATTTAATGTCGCTTATTCGTATTTATTTTTGGATAGCAATACATTTGTATGTAGTTAAGTGCTTTGTCCTGGCCTGGCACTATACAGAAAAGAGGGAACTGCTCCCCGGTGGCAGGCCCCTCTTGCAGCATTTGCCTGACCACACCATCCCTTCCACTTGCAGACCAGGCACACCCCTGGGTGTACCAGGGCTACACTAGGGTACATGCAAAAGTGGTGCTGCTTTGTATGATATAACTTAGACTGGACTGACTGGGCTTCCTGCAGGGGGGCTGCAAAGAGGATGGAGCTGGGCTGTTCTTAGTGGGGGCAGATGGCAGGACAAGGAGCAATGGGCTCCAGCTGCAGCAAGGCAAGTTGAGGTTGGATGTTAGGAAAAACTTTCTCATGGGGAGGGTGGTGAAGCACTGGGACAGGTTACCCAGAGAGGCGGTGTCTCCATCCTTGGAGGTTTTGAAGACTCGGCTTGACAAAGCCTTGGCTGGGACGACGTAGTTGGGGCTGGTCCTGCTTGGAGCAGGGGGTTGGACTAGATGTGACCTCCTGAGCATCCTTTTAACCCTCTTTTTTTTTTTTTTATGATTTTCTATGACATCTGGGACCCTTAAGCTTCCCACCGAGCTTGCAGCTGAAGCTGTGCAGCGGACGGAGATCGTAACTAAAGGATTCTGACATCGCTTTGTTCAGCGAGGAACAAAACTAACATTTTGCATCAAAAGGAAAGATGTCACGTTTGGCCTGATGGATCCGCTCTCTGCTTTGACATCCCTCCGTGGAGCAAAAGGAATGAATGCAAAGCTGTTTCAAAATGAGATGCTCAGGCAGCCTTGTCCTGACATATCTCCTGTCACCGTCTTTGGGACTTTTCTTGGGTTTCCTTCAAAACAAACGGCAAAACCTCATCGCCACGGTCTGCAGGAGGGAGCTGAACCCTTCAGTAGAAAACTGCTCCAAAGTGTGCGTGTGTGTGTGTCTGTGTTTTTCCTTGTTTATTCTGGGTTTTCCCCAGCCAGCTCTCTTGCAAAAGCTCCGTCACTGGGGTTGTCAGATGTAAAGGGAACGGTGGTGGAGGGATGCGACTCTTGAGGGCTTCCAGGTGGTTTATTCGGGGATAATAAAGGATCTTTCCTATTCCCTCCAAGGCATCTCCCACTGTTTCACTTCGGCAGCACCCAGCACAGCCGGCTGGCTGCTTTCAACACTATCCTCAGGCATATCCCTCTGCCCACGTGCTGGAGGGAGAGCCTGGGGGCTGTGCTTTCCCCCGGGGGGCTGGGCACTTCAAGGGACAGAGGTGGCGAAGGGCAGGGCTGAGTTTTTGTGGGGTTTGGCCCTTGGGAAGCGGGCGCTGGAGAATCTCCCCTGCATTTGCTTTGGAGCGGGAAGCCGGTGAAGGTGGAGCTGCCGTGCCGGCCAAGTCCCTCGTCTGTCTGCAGAACCTCGTGGAGCCCTCCAGCAGCATCTGCTGTGGAGGGAGTCTCAGCTGCTCCGTGCGGGGAGGATCGCGGTGCTCCCCGTGCCCTGCTGCATCTCTCCCGGAGGACAGAGAGGTTTCTCGCACTCCATTTTCTCAAAGCTCCTCCCGTTTAGGAGCCAGCTCATTAAATGGCTATTCATCCGACTCGAGAAGGAGCAGTAACTGTGCCAAGAGGAAAGTCAAATGGATAACTCGACACTAAGAGCAGAGGAGGGATCTAAGCACCCGTGTCCCTCCCTCGCCGCCGACACCACGCACCCCTGCAGTCCCACCACCTCGACCCCTGGCTGTGGATGGCGCGTCCGGCTGCGGTGTAGCGGGGGACAGGCCCCGGGGCAGAGCCTCTTGTCGGAGAGGGGGTCCTGGAACAGGTGAACCCGGCACTCTTCCCGTCTCTGACGGTCCCTCACCAAATACTCCCACGGCCTGGCTAGGCCAGCACCTTTGTTCAGAGGGGAGTTATAAGCAAGAGACTCTGAAAACAGAGGGAAAGTGGTGGTGGGGAGCTGCACCTTTCAAGATCTGGCCTGAGCTTGCTGGAGTGGGCTGTTGTGTGTAGAGAGTCATGCCACGCCAGGCTGGTCCCTCCACGCTGCAGCAATGAAGGCAGCAGGCCTCGGCCAGGCTCCTTGGCTCTGAGTGATCCCTGAACAACACGGGCCGCCCAGAACAAAACTGGGAGCAGGCGAAGCTCCGCCAGAGCCAAAACCCTCTCCGAAGCATGCAGGGGAACTGGGAAGCCTTAAACAGCACGTCCCTCCATCTCTGCAAGCAGCGGGTGCCGGCAGCGAGGAAGATTGCCAGTAACGAAGCTTCCCACAATAGCTAGCTCTGAAGCACTTGAGGTTTTTAATGGTTTTCAGGTAGAGCAGGCAGAGGAGACGACCCATAACACTGTAATTCAGGGATCCGAGGAGTGCTGCACGCCGCATACAAATGAAATGCCGCGGTGGTTTTACTCGGGGCGTGCAGAGGTGAGAGCAGCGGTTGTGACAGATCTACGGCTTCAGAGAAGCTGAAATAAGTTCTGCCGGCCGGGGGGACATGACTGGATTTGAAGCAAAACTGTGTCTTCTGGAAGACTTGGGATGAGCCCTGGAGGAAGCAATTAGAAAATGCAAAGCAAAGGCTCTGGCCGGGGAGGTGGGTGGAGTGCGGATGGTATCCTGACATTGGGTGGGATGGAGAAGCCAAAATACCCTCCTAAAAACAAACCCAAGACAGTAGGGTCTCAGTCCTACTCCCCAAAAATGGGCACATGGGCTGCACTGTAGCAAACAGCGCAAGACCATACCCAGCAATTGCTGGGGAGATGGAAAATGGAGGCATTGCATCATTTTGGGAGCCTGGAAGCACCAGCAGAAGGGGCAAGGCACAGACGCCAGCACCACTGGCTCAGTTATTCCTCGTAGGGGCGGCGGGCAAGCCTGCAGCCCAGGCTGGCAATCAGCTGAAAAGTGAACGGGATATTTAAGATGATGCAGCGACATGGTGGTGCCAGGAGCAGTGGTGATGGTGGCACCCGTGGGAGAGGCACAGGTTGCAGGAGGCCAGCAAGCGAACCCTGGGCTTTGTGGCAGGAAGGTTATCTCCTCGAAGGGAGGCGGCGGTGAAACGTGAGGACACGGCAAGTGGGAGGGAATGCAACTGGGAATACAGCAGGCGGCGGGGGGTCCATTTTTTTTTTTCCCCAAAATGGGCCCCCTCTTGGTCCTGACCAGAAGGCAGAGGACCTGGGCAGCTAAGGGAAAAGCTAAGGCATCTTCTAGGGAAGCTGTCAGGGTGCGGAGTAGAGCTGGCAGAGCCCAGCTGTCCCAGGACTCATGCCCCTTGCACTAAGGTGGAAGCCGGGAGAGGAGCTGGGTCTTGTTGCTGCAAGGATTGAGGTGACAGAGGAACCAAGGGAGCGGGTGCCCTTGCTGCTGAGGGATGGCAAAGCATGGCTGTCTTCACTTATATCCATGCCCAAGAAAACAGAGTGGGGAAAATGCTCTCTCTTCTCCCTAACTGCAGGGTGCTTAAGGATGACTGAAAGCAGGTTTGCTTCATGAGACTGTATGAGACCTCAGCGCAGGGCTGGGGCCTCGTGGACCTATACAGCCTCCCTGCAAGGACCGGGTTGGACCTGGCTGCAGGCCTGGGATGCTCCTAAAGCACCACGTGACTTTGTTGGGTTACTTTAAGAACAAGGAACTTCTAACAGTCCTTTATCCCGGCTTCCTGTGATGCTTATGTCCCCCTTCCTTAAGTAATGCTTACAACAGAGTCAATAACTGATGAATTGACCATCTTTAAACTATATTTTAATATAAATGCACTAAAACCAGGGAGTTCAATAAAAATGGAGAGGGAGGGTGGGAGCCTCTTTCCCGTGGTGGCTAGAGGGACCAGCGAGTGGTGGTGATGGGACAGCTCGTCTTGATTACCAACGCCGGAGCTGTTCATCTTGCTTTTGATGTCTCCCCGTAACATCTTGTAGACGAGCAAGAGCAAGCTCTTGAACAAGATGGACAGTGATGTGGAAACAGTCGCTGCCTTCTCAGTATGTGGGCAGCAGCGGCAGCGATGTCAGCGGGCTCAAAGCTTTTTCTCTGGTGGGGTTGCTGGGGTCCCAGAGGGGTTGGTATTAATACAGATAAGGTTAGACTTGGCTGGGTTGGTTGAGCACGGGCTTGGGCAAGGTCCTTCCAGCCCTGCTTTTACAGTCCTACAGAAACAAAGCAAGTTCCCTTCGGAGATGGACGCCCATGGTCAGGAGATGATGATGTGCAAGGTGAGTGCTGCAAGGCTTTGCCAAGGTCCCGCTCCTGTACAAAGAGCCCTACGCAGGGCAGCACGAGCCCTGTGCTCTCCTGTGTCGTCTGCAAGGACGTTCCTAGAGAGTTCCCCGGGCCCAGCTCACTCCTCCAATGCCTCGTGGCTGCTCCGGGAGAAACCAGAACCCATCTAGTCCGGGCAGCTGGGAGTTGTGCATCCATGGCAGGGGATCTCTGTGCAGGACCCCAGGGCACAGAGCGTGGCTGGGGTCCCCGGTCCCCTCCTTAGCTATAGTCCATTGCTGGAATGGGATTTGGGTCTATGGGCAAGCGCGTAGGAGTTGGAGCAGCCAGGAGAGCTGGTGGCAGACTCTCAAGGGATGCGCATTCAGCAAGAACGAGGGTCAATGAAACTTGGGCCAGAAGAGTTTTCCTTATAGGTGGAATTTGGAAAACCAAGGCTGTGCTGAGATGTGCATTTCCACTTCAGGAGGTATCACAGACTACATCCAAATGGCTGGTTAGTCCATCAGGCCCACACCTATGGACCATGTACGTTGTAAACCTGGGAAGCTCTGCTGAGCTTGAGGGTACGAGCTTGCCCTTGCCAGCCTCCCCTTGCCGTATGCTTGCAGTACACCTGGGTGTTCAGGCCTGGAGCACAGGAGGTCTGCCAGCAGCAATCCCACAATCCTCTGGTTCTGACTTTGGGTGTCCTGCACCCCACTCCCTTGTCTTTTGCCTAAACCTGTAACAAAAGGAGAGGCCATGGGTGCACAGGTTGGGAGCTTGAGGAGCAGGTGCACAAGGTACGATGACTGCCAGTATGTTAGATGAAGAGGGGCTGCTCAAGTGGCGTGGGCTGCTGGAGCTGCCCCCGAGGGCTGGTCCCTAAATAGTGGCCAAATGGTTTATGTGCAGTCTGCACTCTGGGTTTTTGGGTCAAAAAGCTAAAACAACTGCCTGTGGCTAATAGCGCCTGCTGTCCGGTCTTGGAGGGATAGGGTCGGTTCCTGGAGTCTCTGTTCAAGATTTCCCTTCCCTGCCGTAGCGCTGCCCTCCTCCCCGAGGTGATGGCTCTTCAGCTCTGCTTGGCTCTGTAAAGTGTCTGGAGACAGGAGTCTCTCCGTGTGACCGTGACACCGTCAGATGCCGTGTTCCCTAATTAGCACGTGCCAGATGGCCCCTTCACAAAATGGTATGTGCCGCGTTCTTGATCTTCATAAAGCCCGAGTGACCTTTTCTGAAGGTATTGGATGATCATAAATGGCTACTGAAATTTCCTGGTGCTGAGTGCTCTCGAGGCTCTGGCCAGTGCCCACAATCCCTCTTTCAGTTTGCTACTCGGTTGGAGGCTAATGGTGTTTAACCTGAGGAAGGACTGCAACTTAGGCCCCAAATGCTGCTGTGCCTCTCTCCCCTCCCCCTGTGACGGATCAGGATTTGAAAGCTACCCTTCTGGATGCCCAGAGACTCCTGGCTAAGCCATGGCTACACGTATGTGGAAGGGTCTGTCCCGGGTCTGCTCCACAGGGTCGTTACTAGGGATGTGCAAAACAGCACCCTTTTGTTTCAACTTCTGTTTCGACGTTTTGACGGGACAGTGTTTTGTTTTGAGTTTCGTTTCATTTTGAAAGCACTGTCCCGTCGAAGCTGTTTCGATGTTTCGCCCATAGGCTATAATGGGGAACTGCAAAACTGCTGGTAACTTGGTCAGTTCTCACCTGATTCAGATGGAGCTTGCAGGGACGGTAGCCCCTTCTGAGGGCATGACACCTGCCAAGTTTCAAGGACATAGATGCAGGGGTTTCTGGGAAACTGCACCTCAGGCAGCTGACAAGTAAAACTCATGACATGGGTGACAGAAAGTGGGGCAGGTCAAACAATGCTGCCTTTTATGCTGTTTTTCCATCCCTCCCCCGGGGCA